GGGGTGAGACGAGGAGTCCGTCTCGGCCCCTTGCTGTCACGGGACATTATCCACTTGGCGGACCTATACCGACTCTCTCAAGAACAAACCCTGCCTGCAGTCTCTCTGTGTGAAGACTTCAAAAGGTAGACAATTGTTTACTGAGATATACGTCGAAGGGAGTCTAGCCCGGAAATGTCTGAGATTGACACGCTGATGTGCTGGTCTGGTCTAAATTAAAGAACGAGTGCCAAATTCACTAATCTTCTTTTCCTCCTTTTTCTTAAAGCTTAAACCTTTTATTACCTTTTATTCTCTTATTTACTTAAAAACTTAGTTAAGCAGTGTGCCAGTGAATTACTACACCTGAAATTTACCATTTGTGTCAACTCTGAGTGGAATTTCATGCCGAAAATTATAACTTGTGTTCATTTATTCATATAATATTTTAATAAATGTTTGTATGTTTAATCCTGTTCATATATCTAAAATAAATTACTTTATTTTGAGAAATCTGTCCAGGTCACAAGTTTTCATTTTTCACTTTCACAATCAGAGGTAATGTCTTGTCATTTCTTCAGATTTCATAACGTAAAGGTCTTGCTTGAAGATATTACTTTGTGAGATAGAGCTGGTTCTTAATTTCATAGAGTGATTCTTTACAAGCGGCTGCTGACATCATTGCGCTCTTTGCGCGATGCTGCGTTCATGACAAGCATGAAAAATCTCCCACTTTTACGCCAATACCATCACAATGATGCGTTTAGGTACAGAAACATGGTACCGTTTGATGTTACGTGAATAGGTTCTCGGTGGTACCGACAGAATTCGGTCGGTACTTAAAAAAGTATCGAATTCAGTACCAATCCCCAATTATGGGAGATGTAGTGTATGGTAAATGGTCAAAGCAACTGATCTCAAAGGCATTAATACATCTTTGAAGCTCTCCCGGGCCACATAAAATGCTGCGGCAGGCCACATTTGGCCCACAAACCTTGAGTTTGACACTTGATATAGGCTGTAAATCAGAGGTAACTTCATATTTCTCAGCTTGAAGTAATAAATAAAATTTATTTTGCCTGTTTCTCTGTGATTTAAAGTTTCCTCATTAGAGTTTTCAGCATCTATATCTTCTTCTAACTGATCATAGACCAAAAATTAACTAATATATAAGCAAATAAACATTTTATAAAAGAGAAGCCAAGTTTAAAATAAAAAAAGTTTTCTTTCTTTAATGCATTTTACTGGAGCAGTTCAATTTCAGCTCTTTCATAAACAACATGTGTGATGACTTGTTCTCTAAAAAGGGCAAACAGCTCATAAAATTACTCCTAACAGCTTGAACGGCTCATTTTCATTGTTCTGATTCCAAACAAGCRTGGGTTTGGATTCAGCGACTGAACGCAAGTTTTATGAGTTGATTTTTCCAAACCTCCGCTCCACACTGCAGCCAAACGTTTTAAACTTTCAAAATGAAAAGGCAAATGAAGTTATTTCTCTACTTGTAACACTTTGTTATCGCCCCGCAGAGGAAAGTGAAGCAGTAAAAATGTTTTTATCCATGTTTGTTTGTTGTTTTCTTGTAGTGAACATGAACCACCTGTTAGATTTTAATGAAATGTTCAAAAAGTAATCATTGGACTCAATTTTATGATGGCAGCCACATAATAAGAGGATCTCAGTATAAAATAATGGCATGAAAAACAGCTGGCATCCTTTCAGGAATGCTGAATCTTTCAATATAGAAATTACCGGTAGTTTTTTCAAAAACAATCCAAAGTAAACATAGTAACATAAATAATCTCTTTTTTTTATAATCGTATTATTCAGACAGCAGTATCTTTGATTCTGGAAAACCTAAATAAAAGTTTTCAATGAATAAAATAATGAAAATGCCTACTTTATTTAATTTATCAAACTAAAGTTCTCTGGTTTTTTTAAGAAAAAGAAAACCATTTCCATGAACCTGTCCTGCTCTTTGCTCCACAAATATTTCTTTATTTTCTCAAACACCCAAAGAAATCACAATAAAATTACAGCTGTCTGAAAAGAACAGGATCATCTCTTTTGTCCTGTGATTTAGTCAAATGGTTTGGTTGGAAATTACACTGCGCGGCCACCTCACATTTCTCGCAGCGCCACCGGCTGAACCAGTCGTTTTTATCTGTAAGTAAATTCCTCCGGCCTCCTGAAACTGACACTCAACAGAGGGCGATGATGTAAGCGCCTGTTCAGGATGTGGAAGATAAAATGACGGAGGTCGATTGATCACTGTACAGTGCAGCGACCTCATCTCTTCGGTTACCAGACACCGCCCAAAGCAACGGCCAAGAACACATGAAATATTTACATTAGATGACCAAGAGAAACTCAAGGCCTCCTGTCTGAGCCAAGCATGTGTTCGCAAGTTGTTTTCTTGGCATATG